AGGATAAAGACTAGGTCCATTTGCAAAATTCCTTATGGAGAATGGAATTATAGCGCAATATTCGGTGCTAGGCACGCCAGAACAAAATGGTGTAGCAGAAAGAGAGAATTGAAAACTAATGGACATGGTAAGAATTATGATTAGTAATTATTCTCTTCCTTTGTCTCTATGGAGTAAGGCTTTAAAAACTGTTGTGTATATCTTAAACAGGGTCCAACCAAATCGGTTCCAAAAACACCCTTTAAGTTTAGGACATTTACATATATGGGGTTGTCCAGTTAAGGTCAGGGTGTACAATCCTATAGAGAAAAAAAGTTGGACTTAAATATAATAAGTGGGTTTTTAATTGGCTATGCAGAAAATTACAAGCGGTCAAGTTGTATTATCCTTCACATAAACCCATTGTTGTTGAGGCGAGAAATGTTTGGTTTCTTGATGATATTGAAATTATTGGGAGTGAATAACCTCAAAATTTAATTTTTGAGGAAACACGAGATTTGGTTGATAGACCTGTGATTAAAGAACCTTTACCTGTACTTCAAGACATTTCTCAAGATGTTATTATGGAAGAACAGGTAAATGAAGAAGTGCCTACCTACGAGGATCTTATTGTCAATGAACCTGTTATAAATGAACAAATATAGTTAAGAAGGTCCTCAAGAGTAAGAAAAGCTGCAATTCCCACTGATTATGTTGTATATCTACAATAAATTGACCATGATATTGGAATTGATAAAGACCCAATTACGTTTTCACAAGCCATAAGTGAAAATTCAAAGTTATGGTATGATGCCATATTAGAGAAACTAAACTATATTGCTAAAAATCAAGTCTGAAATTGATATTCAATTGTCAGAATGGGCTAATGCAGTTGGTTGTAAATGGGTTTATAAAACTAAAAGAGACCTAAAAGACAAGATTGAATGATATAAGGCCAGACTTGTACCCAAAGGGAAGGCATTAATTACTGTTATACATTTTCTCCTGTATCTATAAAGGAATCCCTTCGTATTATCTTGGAATTAGTAGCTCATTTTGATTTAGAAGTACATCAAATGGATGTGAAAATGACATTTCTTAATGGGGACTTGAATGGGGAGGTATACATAAAATAACCTGAAGGTTTTCATTCAGATAAAGAAAACCATTTTGTTTACAAACCCAAGGATTGCAAACAAGCCTCACGTTAGTGGTATTACAAATTTTATAATGTTATCTCTTCTTTTGGGTTTAAAGAGAACATCGTTAATCAATGTATATACCTTATGTTAGTGGGAGTAAATTCAATTTTTTGATCCTATTTGTGGATGACATTTTGCTTACCAGTAGCAACTTAGGGTTGCTACATAATGTTAAATTTTTTTTCCCTAAAAAGTTTGATATGAAATATATGGGTGAAACATCATATGTCATTGAAGTCTAGAAAACAAAAGAAACCTTTACTCTTCTGCGGCAAGGGTGAGAAACTTTCGTAAGAAGTCGAGTAGGAGGTGGTGGGAATAGTGCGGATATCCACATCTCACATCGCAGGTGCAAATTCTGACATCACCACAGCCCACTTGGTTCTTTCGCTCCTTGCTCGCGGAGCGGCATACCGGAAAAAATCAAAAAAAGAAGAAAGAGAAATTTCGCGCCCTTTTTAACTAAAAAGAGGAGGTTCCCTTGGGCGACACGATATTGATAGAAGCCTCTTATTCATTATCGGGCTTCGAAATTGTGAAGATTGCGTTCAATATCGCGTTTCGCCTGAGAACGGGGCTATCCTCTTTCGAAAGCTCGGTGAAAGCCAGGAAAGAGATGAATGTTTTTTCTCCAATTTCTCAGGATCAAAGCGCCGGCTATATTTGCTGATGACCTCTTCTTGGCATAGAAATTTATAGGGGTATATCCCAATGATTGATTAGATTATCCCAAAAGGCCTATATCAATAAAGTTTTAGAGAGATTTCGAATATTGGATTGTTCTTTAAGTTTTGCTCCTATTGTCAAGGGTGACAAATTCAGTCTAAATGATCAATGGCCAAGAAATTATTTAGAAAGGGAAAAGATGGAAGTCATTCCTTATGCATCTGCAATAGGATGTCTAATGTTTATGCAAGTATGCACTAGACCAGACATTACATTTGCAATAGGAATGTTAGGCAGATACCAAAGTAATCCAGGGATGGATTATTAATTAACGAGCTGCAAAGAAGGTGATAAGATATCTATAAGGGACAAAGGATTACGTGCTGACATACAAAAGATTAAATCTTTTGCAAGTGGTTGGATATTCTAATTCTGATTTTAAAAGATGCATTGACTCTAAAAAGTCAATATCATGATATGTATTACTCTTTACAAGAGGAGTTATATATCTCGTGGAAAAGCTTAAAACAGAAATCAGTCACTTCCTTTACTATGGAGGTGAAGTACGTAGCATGTTATGAGGCTACGGGATGTGCCTTTTGGTTGTCGAATTTTATCACAGATCTTAAAGTTGTGGATTTGATTTATAGGCCATTGAGAATCTATTGTGATAATTCTGTTGAGGTTTATTTTTGTAACAATAATGCAAGAAGGAGTTCAAACAGGTGGATTGACATAAAGTTCCTTATTGTTAAATAATAAGTTTAAAATCATCAAGTGTTGGTAGATTACTTAAGAACAAGGTCAATGGTCGCAGATCCTATGATAAAGGGTTTGTCACCCAAATTGTATAAGGAACATGTATGACATATGGGACTTATTGATCTATCTTGTGTTTGAGTTACTGATACACATTAAAGTTTGCAATTATATTTATATTATGATGATTCTTAGTATTTATTTGTCATTTTAAGGCTACTATACATAAAGTTTATAAATGACAAATTATTCTTTTGGATAATAAAGTAGAACCTCGATTAGAATGAGCTTTTGGGAGCTTATTCATACAGATAGTCTATTGGGACAATAAAGTTGGTTCCTTGAATAGATTTTGACAGATCTATTCATAAAGTACTGTCGCATAAAGATGTTTATCTAAGAAAGACAATGATATAATGATGCTTGGAAGATAACACTCATTTGTAGAGTGTGATTTCCTCCTTAATTTTATATACTGAAATTATTTAGATAAAGTTTTAGTTCTCAAACAAGGAAAATGTCAAACCCTACTAGGGCTGGGCTACATTAAGCACAATGGAATCGGTTACTGTATGGAGACATTCCATCACCGCTTGGATCCACTAATTCGCAAGACCCAAACAGTGGCGCTGTCCGGGGGAGACCAATGTTTAGTCATATTGTGGAATGTAACGTTATAGTTTTGGGAAGTTACAGGTGTGTGGTTGTGGGAAGTTAAAGGTGGTTCAATAACAGGGAAAATTTAAAATCTCACTACTTAATTTTACATATTTTAAAAAATGCTAACATTTACAAAGTATTAGGTTTAACTGCTAGCTTTTTAAAACTAATTACAAAGTGTACTAAAACACTATTTAGATATTTTTATGGTCCCAAAGGCCCCTCTTAACATCAATTCAATAATTGTTGTCTCTCTCTGTCAAACTCTCCAATCGGGACGATACCTTCTCGTAGACCATCGGATGTAACGTGAAGCAACGTTCTCGGACCTTCTGTTCCAACTCATATTTGCTTAATAAGATCAGTGAGATTTTGATGGATTGGTCGCACCTCTGAGACCTTCTTTTCCACCTGCATCTACACCTACAACGTAAAGTCCTAGATCCGGTGCTTATGCTTTCAACAAAGACTAATTCCAACAATTGAGTCAATTCGGGTAAAAGGCTGAAACTAAAGGTACAGCACTCAAAAGCATCTCAAGGTTCTTGATCTTATTTAGTATTTGCGTGAGAAGGATCCCACTTTTCTTTCTACAAATAGGTGGTTCTCCCTTGTCTATTAGTTTTGAACGCGTAGCTTTCTAGGAAAATATGAGTTGGAACAGAGGCATGGTCACCGTTAGAGAAGGAAGGGAAGTCGGTGAACGCTGCCATGTCCCGACGGAGATTAGAAGCATCTCCACCATTGAAGTGCTTGGAGTCGTTGGAGATCAAAGGCATCGCCACTATTGGAGCTTGTCACCGAAAATAATGGAGGGTATAGTTCAACGAAGCTTTCCCAGTCTCGTGGGATTTTATGGACATCGAAGCATAGAACTGTCGCTAGTGTTCATGTTTTTCAAGTTGTTGGGTATTGCCAGAGTCAATGGGCACTGCTAATTAAGGCTCATCGGATTTCATGGAATTCAAAGCTCGCCGATGGTTTTGTCTTCGCCGGTACGAACTGGGTCTCTCAACGCCGGAATAACTATGGTATGCAATCTACATGTCATCATCAAAGATCATTCTTATTTGCATGGAGCTTTTCCGGTGAGAGTACATGCCAAAGCTTTCACGTTATTGTTTGGTCAATTCTTCGTTGTTGTGTGCTCGGTGTGAAGTTCGTGGACTTTGAGCTTGTTATCCGATCATCGTCACCGGAAACACCATGCATGTTTTGAGCTCGCCGAAGTGTTAATTCATTGTTGCTTGGGAGCTCGTCGGAATGTGTAGCACGAAAATGTCCATCTTAACTTCAATACAAGTGGAGAGTTTGAGAGAAAGAGACATCAATGGTATTAAGAGGGGCCTTTTGGACCATAAAAATATCTAAAGAGTGTTTTAGTATAGATTTGTAATTAGTTTCAAAAAGTTAGCAGTCAAAATTAATACTTTGTAAAAGTTAGCAATTTTTTTAATATGTAAAATTAAGTAGTGAGATTTTAAATTTTCCCTTTAATAATCATCCTTTTGAATTAGAATAAAGGAAGGGGTTTACATGATGGTGATTTATTCATACAGTTTCCTTATAGAGGTCTCATGCCCAACAAGTAACAGGTTGTGTTGTCTCCATCAAGTATACATATAAAGACTTGTATAGATGTAAACATCTTGAAGATTTCTCACTTTGTTTTGTAAGCATTAACAACACTAATTTCATGACTGAAGGTATGCAATCTAGTTTTGGGGGTTGATATTTTCTTTCAGATATATGGAAATAGAGATTGGAAACAACTAATAAACATATTACAAATATGAATACCTGGTTGATTCTACTAAAAGCAAAGGGTAATATGACACTAATTTATATACTAGATTTTTTTTTTTTTTTTTTTTTGCTAAACAAGTAACAATTTTGTTGGGGGGATTATTATTATTATTATTTCATGAAAAAAAAAAAATACAGTATTTTATGATTGACTGGACCACAAGAATTCACTGAGTAGAGAACAGCCAGATCATAGCTAGTTATCGGTTGGCACTCCTCTCTACTATTTCTACAGGGTTGGAACCTAATATGATATAAAGGCAGCCTTACAACATGTGGGCATGAGAGAGAGAGAGAGAGAGAGAGAGAGAGCGCATGGGTGCTATCATTTCTCCCCTCAGACCTTTGATGAAAGCCTTGGGATCGAAGGCAAGGAAAACATAATCGTGCTCCTGTTATTGCAGAGGATGCAAAAAGTACAGCTCAGAGAGAGAGAAAGAGAGAGAGAGAGAGAGAGATGTGATCTATAATCAATCTTAAATTGTGAAGGTTCAAAAAGTTTTGACTGAAAAGAAACAAAAAAATAAAGTGAGAGAGCTCTGAAGAAGGGTTGTTCATGCTCTCTTTCTTTCTTTTCAAGACTGCTTTAATTAAGATGAGACTTTGAAAGAGTAAAGAGGAAACTATGAAAAGTGAGTAAAAGCAACGAAGGTATGTGGGTGTCACCTGAAGTACTATTTCTTTGAATAGAGAGAGATTCCCAGTCCTTTGCTAGTTAATTTTAATTACTCATCTTGGGATTTTCAATCTCTTTAATATATATATATATATATATATATATATATATCATTTCAATTCATTATGGAGTCTGCAAATCTCCATCACCAACATCAGCTCCAAGATCAGCTTGCTTCATCTTCTGCTTTAGCTACCTCATCCTGCTATGGAGTTGGAAACACCCATGCTTGGAGTGCCCCAAAAACCATTTTGTAAGTTCCTCCTTTCTCTCTCTAGCTCTCTCTCTCTCTCTCACACACACACACACACCCAAGCTATATGCTTTTTACCTACAACTTGACTTGCTCTAGCTAGCTTTTGGATTTAACAAGAACACTGAAATGTTACTTGCATGCATTACTATTTTAGTTTCTTACTTATTTGATAAATATATCAATCATAAAGTGCCCTAAACTCGAAATATGCTTGCTGGGTCTTCTATATATTTTTCCCCAACTCTTTTTATTTAGTTTTTGAAGATTAAGATGGATTTGTATCACATACAAGCCACTAAATATCTAGCTAGGAGTCTTGACATGATTGATTCTAGGGATTTTTTTTTTCCCCCACCTTGAACTTCTAGGGGCTTGTAGTTTCTCTATGATTTATCCAGTGGAGATTTTATAATTATTCTCAACTAATTGTGCAGGAACAATGGTAATTTTGATCCAACTATTAATGGACTAGACACAAACTCAAGGGATTCAAGGCAGCAAAATGACATTCTAACCCCTTCTCTTCCAATGATTCAAGACCTGGGCTTTCACTGGTCTAACAATGGAGCAGGGAGCTTCAGCAGTACTCAGTCTGCCCATGAATTTCAACTTGCAAAGGTTAACAAGGAAGAGCTCTCAGCTGATTCATACCCAAAATTCACCGAAATGATAAACAGTGCTTCAAGTATTGAAGATTACCATTTAAATCCAACAACCTACATAAAGAATGAGCAAAAGGGTCATTTGAATGACCTAAGTGAGAAGCTCTTACTTAGAAACTTCTCTTCTGGCTGCCAAATCAGTGGGCTTCAACTTTCCGGTGGTACCGGAGATTACTACTCCAATGCACAGAACTGTGCTAGTACTTTAAGACCTAGCAGAGGGAATTTCAGCCAGATATTTCCCACTGTCAATATTTCAAACTTGAATCAATCGTCTTCGGCAGTTTTGAGCCCCTCAGACGTGAACTTGCAGGCTTTGGATCTCTTCACCTCGGCAAAATTTTGTGGGAACTTACGCCAGCCTTCACATGGTCATCTTGACCTTTCCAGAGAGGGTCTTTTTTGTGGTCTTGATCATATGCAGCAATCAAGTCATACATCAAATGGCCCTACTAAGGTTTGTAGCTACATCTTAGCATCAAGTTACTGAATAATTTATATATATATATTTTACTGAATAATTATTCCCCACTATTTTTTTTGGAGGGTAAGTAAATAAATAAATTGATAATGAATAGGTAGTATAACCCTGAATTAGTTCATCTTTCTGGTATATAATGATAGTTTGAAAATGTTGATTGTTTCTTTGGTATGCATAGCATCAAATTCCTCTGTGATGGACTTTTTCAATCAATTCATTTTGCATGGTCCTTTTTTTTTTTTTTTTTTTACACTTTTTGAACATCTTCAGTGATGTCATTTGGTTGAATAAAACCCCAAAAAAGGAAGAAAAAAAAAATATATATATATATATATACATATATACATATATATAACTTAAATCCTAAGATCCTATATATACTTGAACAGAAGAGTATCATGTGTGTGCAAAATTTTGAAGATTTTCCTTTGAGCTTGTGCCGTCCAGGCTCTTGCTTCTCTTTTGTTTGTTGTGTTTTATCCCAGGCCTGTTTGTACTTTTTCACACATCTATGCAACATTTACCAATTTAACTCTACTGAGCAAAAATTATCAATTTAATTACAGAAAAAAAAAAAAAAAAAAAATTACCAATGAGATTGATAAATCTAATTAACTTTTTTCTTTCTTTAACTTAAAATTTGGAGAAAATGAAAAGCTACAACATTTTCATTCTTTTTTGTTTCCCCTCTGTGAAAAGTGATACCAAAAAGAAAAAGAAAAAAAAAATAATAAAAACACCCTTCACCTCTTGCTATATAAGGGGGTACTTTCAGCTTTATCCCATATGTGCATCTTTTGTTTTTTTCCAAGAAAATCAGCCTTCTTTTTAGGTACCCTTTGATGAATAGATTTCAATGGTCATTCAGCTGACCTTTACTTTGCATTTTGAAGATGCCACCCTTTACTAATGGAGTTACAGAAGCAAAGAGAACCAGCAGCTTTTTGGAGCCAAAGGCACCTCAGACAGCGGCAAAGAGATCGCGATTTGAGTCACGGGCCTCCTGCCCACCCTTGAAGGTGATCATTAAGGATCAATCACACACAATTATCAACATATATATTCTTTAGCCTTATATATATATATATATATATATATATATTATGTGATTTATTTGCCTTTTTTGCCTTTGTTCATGCACAAATGTTGTATTGATTAACCAGGTCAGAAAAGAGAAATTAGGAGACAGAATTGCAGCTCTTCAGCAGTTAGTGGCACCTTTTGGCAAGGTATATATATATATATTTTTGCACCTTATCATCACCAGACAGCAGGTGATCGTTAACTATAATATAACTAGCTTCCAAAGCAGAAGTGTAATCAAGATTACACAAAAAAAAAAAAAATTTTTTACCTGGCAAACTAAGGAATACTCAAATACTCACACACCCACTCGGGGAGCTCTACCAACTAGGCCACTCGGTAAAGCCCCAGATGAACCATTTGATTATTTGATCAATAAGTAAGGCCATCTTGAAGTATAGAAGTTTGGATATCCAATTTTGGGATGGTGTGATATATCCTCTTTTTGACCACTCAAGGCTAAATGACCCTTTTTCATCTGAAATTCCTGCTACAAATTTCAGGAATATGCAATCACAAACTGCCAAGTACATAGCCCAAGAGAGCATGATTAGTTATTTTTAGGACTCACTAGTTTGTGTGTGTGTGTTCTTTTTCTTTTATTTTTTTCACTTGTATAATATGAAATGATGAGCATTTTTGCATGTGTTCTGGAGAATGTTGCAGACAGACACAGCATCCGTATTAATGGAGGCTATTGGATACATCAAATTCCTTCAAAACCAGGTCGAGGTACTTTCTCTTGAAAACGTTCTTCTTGGTTTTTGATTCCCTATGTAGTAGCTGGCCTTATCATAGATATACATATATGTCATTGTGTGTGTGTGTGAACATACTGCATATGTTTGACTCTGTGTGTTTATTTGTGCTGCATTTGATTTTTGACTGTGTGTTTGTTTATTTGACTCTAGGTGTGATAGGGTATCACTAGGGTTTCTTTATTCCTCTTCATTTTCAGTGCAAAACTAGGTTTTCATTTGGGAAGAGAAATGCTGGGATATGCTAATAATAATAAGTTGAACATAAATGAGACCTGAACCGAACCGCACAAGTCAATTTGGTCAGGCTTTTTAACAGTTCTGTCCAATCATTATGTTTTTGCTTTGGGTCCTTGAGGAGCAATCCGACCAGCACTGCTACATGAATATGTATATTAGTTTATATATATATTATATATAATGGGACAAGTACAGAAAATATTGATAAAGTATATTTCACCTAATATTTTTATCCTCTATTTGAAAAAATGTGCAAAAAATATTTTTAATTTTTTTACATTGACAAACATACTCCTTCTAACATAAATTAATTCTGTAATACCTGTTTTACCCTTTTATTCTTCCGAAAATGTCCAAGGGAGCATATATGTTACTAATATCATAGTATAAGGGTGTTATGTGCACATTACGTTATATATAAACTTTTTTCTCTATATATATCTCTAAACATTTTTTTATTATTAAACATACTTTGAGAATTTGTAAACAAGAATTTGAATTTTATGAGATTCTAGTTTACTCTTCTACTAATTTTTTTTTCTTTATTTTTTTTTTTTTTGTTTCGTACCAATATTGTTAAACAAAAAAATTCCCAATATCAGTGTGCACTGGTTTTCGGAATTTGAAAAAAATCTGTTTTCTTTAATTTGCACTTTATTTTTGTTTTTTATTTTCTATTTTTATCTTTACTTTTCTTTTATACTTTTATTTTTATTTTATATTTTTATCTTTATTTATCCATTGCCAGCGTCTCCCAATAGTATCACTTTCAGCCATTTTATAAATTTATTTATTCTTATATATTTTATAAAATGGTTCAGTAAAAATAATTTGGTCAACTTAGAGTTCAAATTTGTCAGAGTGACCTATTTGTACCAGATTGAAACTTTAGGGGTTTTTTTTGCACAAGAGAGGCATCCTCCAATAGTGTCATTTTCAGTCATTTTACAAAATTATTTATTTTTATATATTTTATAAAATGGTTCAGTAAAGGTAATTTAGTGAACTTAGGGATTAAATTTATCAAATGGACCTATTTGCACAAAATTAAAATTTTAGAAGTGTTTTTTGCACGTGAGATGTGTGATATGCACTGTAAGCATATCTTAGTGTGTTTTCTGCACTTAACCCATATATAATATATAAATAGAAATTATAAAATAATAGCTAATTGTTTTTTTTTTCTTTTTCATAGCTAGATTGTATTAGTAATGCTTGATTTTCATTAGTGAAATTTTACGAAAATAAAAAATAATAATAAAAAAAATAGACTAATTGGGCTGAATTACTGGGGGCTGAGTTAATTATTAGACTGAATAATATAAAAGTTAAGTGCAAAAAAACCTCTATACTATATATATTGTGCAAAAAAGTCCATGTGTGGTATAAAACCCTCTTATACTAACAATTTGGTGCAAATACCCTCCTAATGGCATAAAAATACTATAATACCCTCTTATTAATAAAATAAAATAATATTAAAAAATAATACAAGGTAAAATTACTATTTTAGACAATTCCCAAACTTTCTCTCTCTGCCATGGTGTCTCTTCCACCCCTTCAAAATATTAATTTTGGTAATACAAACCCGGCCGCCTCTTCCACCCTTATAAAACCCTAATTTTCTTCACCACCACCACATCCTCCTCCACCTCCTTCCGGCTAAACCCTAATTCCCAATCCAACAAAATCACGATCGATTCTTCCACCTTCTTTTTCATGTAGGTTAGAGAACTCGACCCCATGCCATGCTCCACCTCCCCCACTTCCCCTCGTACGACACCATCATCGTTGATCACGCCGGCCTCCGTCGTCACCAACGCTGAGTCGCTGACATCGAGAAAAACCCCTTGTCGTTCAGATTCTACTAACATCCTCAACATCATCGGGGCTTTGTTGTTCGGTGTCGACTATGACATTCTCACTACCGCAACCATGTACTTATTTTGGTCCCTCTTCACTCCCAAAATCCAATCAAACCAATCTGTTATCGCTGCCTTAACGTCGTTATCTCCGCCATCAATGTCAACATCTCCATCATTTCCAGCATCTTCGTCCATGGTGACTCCCGCTATACAAATGATTTCAATCAGCCAGGTATAAGCCTTGTTTACCTCACCTTCTATTCTCAAGCTCCGTTGTCGCCGCACGCGAAGCTCACGGTTGCATTTTTTTTTTTGTTTTTTTTTTTTTTTGTATTGGGTGTGGTGGTGGTGGTGGTTTTTTAGTGCGGCCACTATGGTGGTGGAGCCACCACCACCAATTGTTGTGGCAGAGATATGGCAGCCGGGAGTCCCTTAGAAAAGGACATAATAGGAAGAGAATGGTAAATTAGGGTTTTAAAATTTATTTTATGTCAATTTTGACCAAAAAGTGGTTAGGGAGATTTATTTGCACATTTTTTTAATTTTATGAACTGAAATACACATTTTCAAAAAGGACGAACTATTTGTGCACAATTCTTATATTACAGAAGAGTTTTCAGCACTTAACCCTAAAATAAATAAATAACCCTAATCATAACCAACTTTTATGAAATTATTGGATATATTAAATTTTAAAATACTTACCGTGTACATTTGAAATGTAACAAAACTCATTAATGGATAAGGAATCTCATTAGTCACAATTCGATACATAGTGGACAATTGTTAATTGGATAAATTGATAGTGGTATGAATATTTTATCTGCTTGTTTCAATAATAGAACAATTTTTTTCTTTCCCAAGAAACCCTCTTGAACTTCTATTTTTAAAATAAACTCCCTGAACTATTCTGTTTTTTTGCAAACAAAAAAAAAGCCAGGCAAAACTGTTCCGGCGTGTGATTATCACATGACATAAGAAATAATTTCAAAAGGACAGAGTTGACCTTATAAATGTTAGAAAAATAAATTAATAAAAGCTCCAAATTGTTAACCCTAATTTTCGTTCACAAATAGCAATCGTAACCCACTCATTATCTGCAACCCATTTGAAATTGAGAAGAACTCGAGCAACACACAAAACGATCAAGCTCAAGCTCGCCGGCATCAATATTGCCTTCTTCAACACCAACCAAGCCCACCGCTCCGCCACACCCACGTTCACTCCTGTTTCCAAACCGTTTCTAATGGACTCCCGAAAGAGCCTCCGGCGATCAATTCATACTTGATCCTTTGGAAGCCGTCACCAAGACGCGTCTTCGAGGTTTATTGTTTCAGTTCTAACATTGGAGAGCCGGTCACGTGCATCATAAAGGATGGGATCTTTGATTTCTATCTTAACTTTGCACCCAAAAAAAAAAAAAAAAAAAGTCCCTTGATTTATTTCGATACGATCAGTGTTTGCTACATCTGGTTATCTCTATATTCCCAAACTCAAACTTCTATTCAAAGGTGGGTTAATTTGCTCCGTCATCTTCGTCTTTCTAGTTAGAATCCTCCTTGTTGCCATGAATTTTAATCGAGGATATAGGTGGTGGCTCAAGCTGCCATGGACAATTGGGGAAAGAAAAAAAAATAAAAGAAAAGAGAAAGGAAGTGGCTGCCATGGACGATGGAGGTGGGTTTACAGAGGCTTTGAGTGGGGTTTTTTTTTTTTTTGTTTTTTCATTTCACTTTGAGTGGGTTTACAGAGGTTCTGCCATGGATGGAGGCTTTGAATGGTCCCCTAGTGGGTTTACAAAGTTGTTGCTTAGCACAAAAATTAGGTGATTTGTTGATGGGGTGATGTGTTGTCGCAATTCTATTGGCTGTGAATATTATACTTGGCACATCATTAACTAAAACAATAAATAGGCTTAGTTTTACTAAAGGGCAATTTGGTAATCTAACATTTCCGGTGACCTCCAGTGACCGTGTTTTTTTATTTTGTCCTTAAATTGCACTTCTTAAATAGTTCAAGGGGCATTACTTAGTTCAGGAGGATTTTGTGTTTTTTGCTGAATGTTAGGGGAGTTTAATGTACTTTACCCTCTATAAAATGATTATGAGATTGTTGTTAAAATTCAAATCCATTAAAATAGACATGAAATTTGAGTGGATTTTCAATCCCTAAGCATATGCATAGGCTCATGACAATCGATATACAGTAGTTTTTAAAATCAAATAAAAAGAGGAAAATTATTCTTCCAAATTCAAACTAGAAGCCAAGCATGAGGCCGGAGTTGAAAGAAGATTCTAACATTTGACATCATTTTGCATAAAGTAATTGTTTTCAAACTTGAATCTGTAATCCGATACTTGATTTACAACATCGGTTACACCAAGTAATGACATCGATCGCAATACAAGCATATTTAAACACAACTTTTTTCTGAAAATTATTTTTAGAGTTTCTTGTTACCGTGAGTTACTTTTTTTTTTTTTTAACTTTGTTTATGTGGATTCAAATGATTAGATGATAATATGGCTAAATAGATATATAGGACTTGTCAACAATATGCATATATGTAAAGCTAATATGTTGTTGAATATTTTCTGCAGACATTAAGCGTCCCATACATGAAGTCGTCGCCCAAGAAGACCAGCAGAACAATGAGAGGGGTACGTAAAGCAATTTTCTTACAAATCCAGAAAATTTACCACATAGATATCAAGAATCATGCTCTTGTCATTTAAAATAGAGTAGAGTGAGAATAACACTCCTATGTTTATATTTTGAGCAAATAATACTCCTATCTTTTATGTTGTGTATATAAGTTCATTAATTTTGAAAAGAAAAAAAAAATGAGCAAAAAATGACTTACTTGTATATAAAATGAGCAACGTAGGGTTTGATATAAAATTTCAAAAATGCCCTTATCTACCCTTATTTCTTTCAATAATGCACTTATATATATCACCCTTATATATACACACACACACACACACTGAATCGACGCCAGACATATCAAGTCATCACCGCTGTTCCATTACCGACAGCAATGACGATAAAAAAGTAAAACAAAAAAAAAAAAAAAAAAAAACAAAACAAAACAAAACAAAAAAAGTGTGACAATTTAGTCATTTCACATTTAATTAATTATTTTATTTTATTTTATTTTTATCCAATTATAGAGACACACTTTAGTTTTTTAAATATTCATGTCCTCATTTGCACCACAATTGAATTTTAGGGATTTTTTAAAACGTATAAGGGGGTTATATACTTTATATGCATACTATATTGGTGTTTTTCGTTGACGACCCTTTGAAATAATAATTACTATTCATGACCGCGATGAATTGAGAAAATTTTATCAGTCCAATGATCGAGAAAATCATTGTAATGAAATTGGAAATGTAAAGCAAAAATTGTTGTCAACTGGACCCTTAATATCCTGACGTACTATATATTTGAATCTTGATCTCTATATCGTTACCACAATTCTATTTTTCGATTCGTTGTCTTATTTTATTGTTACGTGCCATGTTAGTGAAGTGTAAGCTTATTATATATACAGCATATATATGGCTGTGATTATCAGGGTACAATGGAGGACGACAATGAAGAGGCAAAGCGAGATCTTAGAAGCCGAGGGCTGTGCCTCGTGCCTTTGTCATACTTGTCTTACGTAACAGACACAGGAGGTGTTTGGTCACCCCCTAACTTCAGTGGAACCAGTTAATCATAGATAGATATATGCAATTTTTTTTTTTTTTTTTTTTTTTTTTTGGATTAGGGCAATAATATTAAAGAAAGTTGAATCTCTTAAGCCCAGAATGATTAGAAGGTTTGTGCTTTAATGGAGCAAATTTGGTCATCCTTTATAAATTAAAATTCCAGGATGGACCACGTTTGATCCATTAATTATTTATAAATGTATGATTAAATTCCTAAACTCCCTTTAATGTCCTTTATGTACACTATTTGATAGCTCTATTTGCAATATGATTCTATATGTTCTTTTCTATATATATATATATATATATTTTTTTTTTTTTTTTTTGGCCCGGAAGCAGGATTAGTTTATGTCAGCAAAATAATTTACATTTTTGCTCTGGAAATTATGTAAAGTTGAAAAAAAAAATTGTATGTAAAGAAAAATATATATATTTTAAGCCTGATGGCAATTTAGGAAAACTACAACTTCTATGTAATTTTGCTATAATTTCTCTTATCTAGAGGGCATGTCAATGTAATTTACCTTATTCAATATAACTCTAAATTATTTGGTCTTATTTTACAAGCAATTTGGAAGTTATTTCATTTCTTTTTTACCCCTTTCATTGTTTCAATTAGGGGTGCACAAAAAATCGGTTGAACCGATAAATTGAACCGGACCGGTAGGTTTGGTTCAATTTTTTTACGGTTCGGTTCGGTTTAGGTTCCAAAAACATTGAACCATTTATAAATAGTTTGTTTATGGTTGGAGGTTCTACAAAACCGAACCGAACAATTTTATAAATTGTAGATATATTTATATTTTTTGTATTATATAAATAATAGAATAATAAAATTAGCCTTTTAACCAATCAACTATATATCATAATATATAATAAAAAATTATATTATAATGAAAAATTATATTTTAATTTCATTTATAATTAGATTGAATTAAAAAGCCTAAAACCTTGGAACCGACCCGAACCAAACCGTTTTCTCATGATTTGGTTCAGTTCAGTTCGATTCCATTAGTTTCGCAATTCGATTTGGTTCGGTTCTAATTTTTATTAAACCGTTAGGAATAGTTTGGTTTTAAAATATTTTCAAACCAATCCAATCTGAACCATGTACACCCCTAATTTCAACTAAACATTGCGTTCGAATATAATGACAGAGAAGAAATGAGCAAACATAGCTTATAAGAAAAAATAAAATAAAAGCACAGTAACAACTCTTAATTGTGTTTGCAAAAGATGGTAGAGTCTAGAGACTAGAGAGTAATGTTGTGTTTGATGTGCATGAATGGAATGCAATGCAAGTGGGAATGGAATGAGAATGCGAATGAAATGGAATGCAAGTGGGAATAAAATGAGAATGGGAATGGAATGGAATGACCATTCTCATTCTATTGTTTGGTTGTAAATATGAAATGTGTAGGAATAGAATGATAATAACCATTCTACTCTTTGGTTGGACCAATTTAAAATTTAACGTGGAATAAATTTTAAATTGAATTCTCCAAAATATCCATCTTAGTAACAAATAAATTAAATTAACAAAATGACATTCTCTAATAATTTTTTTAAAATAAATGGTGGCAATGGTAATGGAGGAGGTGGAAAGCGGTAGTGATGTAGGTGGTACTGATGTTGGAAGGCAGCGGTGGTGGCGGTGGTAATAATGGTGGAAGGCGGTGACAGTGAAAGGCGGTGGCAGTAGTGTGGTACATGTTGTTGAAAGAGATAATGGTGTAGGTGGCAGTGGTGGAAGGTAATGGAGGTGGTGGTGGAAGGCAGTGGATGTGGCGATAGTGGAAGGTGGTGGTGGTGGTGGTGGTGGAAAGTAGTGACGATGGAAGGCGGTGGCGGTGGCGGTGGCAGTGGTAGAAGGCTGTGGTGGCGATGGAGGCGGTGATGGCAGTGGTGGAAGGCGGTGACGGTGGTGGTGATGGAAAGTGTAATGCGATGGCAGTTGTGGTGGTGAAAGGTGATAGATGTGGAAAACGACGGTGGTGGTGGCGGCAGTGGCGGTGAAAGGTGGTTGTGGAAGGCGGTGGTGGAAGGTGGTAGTGGTGGTGGATGGTGGTGACGGTGGTAAAAGGCGGTGGTGGTCGATGGTGGTGGCGGTGGTGAAAGGCGATGGCGGCGTTGGTGGGGGTGTTGAAAGGCAATAGCGATGGTGGTGGTCGTTGCGGCAAAGGAATGTGGTGAAAGGAAGTGGCGATGGTGGTGCTGGTGGAAAGCGGTGTGCGATAATGAAAGTCGGTGGCGACAGTTGTAATATTTGTGATTTATATATATATGTGTGTGTGTGTGTGTGTGTGTGTGTGTGTGTGTGGTGGTGAGTGAATAATGTATATATATATATATTAATGTTAAAAAAAAGATTTTTTTTTAAAAGACATGGGACCCACCACTAATTTTCAAAAGTCATGCGATCATGGGGTCATCAGATTACCATTTTTCTCTCTTCTCTGTTCGTAGCTCTCTCCCCTCTTTTGTTCTTCATTTTTCTTTTCTTTTGTATCAAAAACCAAAGTTTCAATTATTCTCTCATTTCTTGGAGTTTTTGGCAGCCATTTGCGGCAAACGGAGAACATGGCGAGATTTACGTGTGAGTATAAGCAATTTCAGTTTTGGCCCCCCTTAGGATTTCGAGTTTTGAGACCCATTTTGAGGGTTTTTTTACAATTTAAGGTAGGGGTGTTCTAACCCACAAATTCTTTGATTTCAGTGAGTTATCTCCTTAAATTTGGCCCAAGCATGATTTTATTGTATTAATCTTGTTATAATCATGAGATGATTTATATATTGTATGTGCTTTATGTGTTAAGTGGCATGCTAAGATGAGTTGTTATGAAAATGTGAGCTTGATTATTTAAGTTAATTGCTACACTTGTTATGATGACATAATTGTTAAATTGAGAAATTGATGTAGAGTATTAAATTATTTTTTGAAAGCATGCAAGCATGATGTATATGAAATGGATTTACACTTTGTATGCTTGGTATGCAAATAATAATAATAATAATAATAAAATGTTGAAAGGAAGCATGAATTACCTATTTTAGAAATTTAATTTGCAAAGTGTGACGGCCCAAGTTTTTCAACCCGGTGCGTTAGTGATGAACCGAAAAATGACCCGATAACGGATCTGAAATGCGGAAGCAAAAGACAAACAACGGCCTCTAGAGATACAACATGACTCTAAGACACCATTGTGACCCTCAACGAGGTCACGGGACACAAAGAAATCAAATGCGGAAACAACATTTTAAAAAAGGACAAGAATGCACCTAGGGGCAAAATTGTCATTTCTAGCCTAAAAGTAGGTGCCACCAAGTACACCATTGGAAAGACAACAAAAAATCAATGAACTTAGACTCAAAAATCGCTTAATTTAGAGTCCGGATGAAGAAGATATGGCTTACGGAAGAAGAAGGGGCAAAACGGTCAAAAAGGGGGCAACCAAGAACATCTAACCGGGTTAGGAAGCCAAAAACAGTGAAAAAAACGCTGCCCACACTCATCTAACCGGTTACGAAACCCCTCGTAACCGTTTAGATGTGAAGGGGCACTAAGGGTGCGACCCAAAAACCTGGCAGCAGGGGTTTTTTCGAAAAAAATGAAAATTTGAGTGCCTAGATTACATTTTCTGGAAAAATTCAAAAAAGAAACCCCCCTCAAAATCAAGTTTTCTTCGTGCTCGCGAGAAAATCGAAAAATACGCAATGTGAAATGCCCAAAATGCCCTCCCAAGAAAACTGGTCCAGAGGGTCCAAAAAGCTGCTAAATTTAAAAACTGAGAATTGAACTTCAGATGCGATTTCCGATGCCAAGATGGCATTTTCTGAAAAAACACAAAGAATAAACCCCCCCTAAAATCACATTTTCTAAGTGACCATATGAAGAATGGAATTTATTTCTCAAAGAAAATTTCCAAAATACCCTTAGGTCAAAATATGCAACAAAAGTGAAAAATGAGTCCGTAGGAGGCTCATTTCACCAAAGAAGAAGTTTTGCCCGAAAACAACCATGCACACAAACGTAACTTACCTAGTAAGATGTGCTACAATGGTCCATGGTCCAAAAATATGGCCGATGCAAAATATGACCCCCCCAACGGCCAAAATGCCAAAAATGAAGTTTGGAACGAAAACTTGGAATTCAAAACTATGAAATGGTTTCAAAATGCCGCTTGGCCCTTGGCCACACTTCAAACATGGTGAATGAATGCTAATGGAAGAATCAAAATGAAATTCCCACACCCAATGCAAACATGGTGAATCAAAAACTCAATATTTTACAATACTTTCATAATATTCTATGAAGTCAAAATTTACATAGGATACAATTTACATGTCATTGGCCTCCGGCCTCATCTCATACATGTCAAATATATCGAAAAGAGTGTACTCATGTACACATTACATATAAGGAATCAAATGTACACATGTTGACATATAAGACTACAATTGGCATTCCAAGCCAACCTTCACCAAAAATGGAAGTCTCCAAGTCCACAAACCATCCAAGCATAATGAAGACCTCAACTTTGATTTTTGTACCTGAAATATGCCCCAGTATCGTAGAGGTGAGTAACATAAAGCTACTCGTAGGAAATGAGCATGCATCGACCTACGTTTTACAAGTTTGCAAGATTTAATCATTGTGGTTCATTCCACCTAACGTCTATGTCAAAGGTGAGACTCAAGGAGCATCCTAGCTACCTAAGATCATTTCTAGCATCAATCACCTCATTCATGCAATTTTAGCAACATAGGCTCATGCTTACACAAAGCAACAACATAGGAGCATGCTTACACAAAGCAACTACATAGGCGCATACTTACATAAAACAACAACATATAGATTCTCAAGGTTATCAACTTGAAGTCTAAAATGCAACATCAACTAAATATAACAATTTAGCATAATAAAATATCTAATACCACACATCAAGACATAGATTCTCTAGGTTATCAACTAGAAATCTAAAAGTGTGAAATCAACTAAATATATCAATTTAGTATGGATGTACTTAACAACATCAAAATTGCCAATAGCCAA